TTTTCTCGGTGGCGCTTGCTACACGACGATGCAATGAATTTAGGGGCCCCTTGGCTCTCACCTACAGCTCATTTGATAACCTACCGGTTATCGCAGACCGCTGCACGATAATCCTCTCGGTTATCGTGAACTTAGACTTTTGCGGTCCCTAATTCTCGAACAGTAACCGCGAGGGTTACTGTTCGAGGATTAGGGTAACCGCGAGGGTTATCGTTAAACTCGCGGTTACCCTAATCCTCGAACAGCAACCCTCGCTGTTACTCTGCAGGCCTCCTTCGAATTCGCCTTGATGCGGAACTTTTCTTCGGATTCGCCTCGACGCGAAACTCCTCGAGTACTACAGGCGCCCTCAGGGTATCTCCATACTTCATAAGGATTGGCCGATTCAGATTGGCCGACCCTTACAACGCTTACACGCGCAATAAGAAACCGCCGATCGAGGGTGCGCGACGGTTGTGTTGCGACCCCTGGTGAATACCGATTTGGTGCAATTCGGCTCTATCCCAGCCTTTCCGCACTTTTTTTTCTTCCGACTTTGATTGCTTTCTTTCTTTAGATCGTGTTAGAATTCACAAAAATTTTCAGCAAATGTGCCGGAAAGATAACAGAACCCCAGGCAGAATGGTATTTGACTGCGGCACAGCACCGCAACCGCCGCGCGCCCTCGATCGGCCGATTCTTGTTGCGCTTATAAGCGTTATAAGGGTCGGCCGATCCTTATAAAATATGGGATACATTAACAGCCACTTATTTCCCGCCATCTCCCGCCTAGCTGGCGTCTAGGTTAGAGGCGGTGATAATGATCCGCTAATCCCCTAAAACACGCTACAAAATCACTTACCTGGTAAGTCCTTTGTCTTTGAGATCTGTATTCGCGAAAATTGTTTCCATAACATTAACAATATAATCATAACTGCTTTAAAAAAAAGCAAGAGTCAGGGATGTCTTAGAAGTAAAAAAGAAGCCAACGTTCTCATTTTCTCATTCTTAGTGATTGGAGTTGACATGCTCTGCCGCTAGATTTGGGACATGCGTCATAGAAAGAGGAAGATTTTCGCGTCGGCTACACGCAGGAGTATAGCTATACACCCCAATCTACTATGACGTTAATAATCTCGCCTCATAAAGTTCTCAGTGATTGGAATTTAAAATGATTACTATAAAAATGCAAGCTAAGAAGTTAGCCTTTCTTTGCTTTGAGTGACATAATCGGGGAAAAAAGATATCAAAGAGAATTGCTGTCTCATAATCTGCAGGAACGTATGAAAAAATGATATAAATTTTTCCACAAATAGTTTAGAAAGATTGAAACACTGTGCGTTAAACGTGGGGCCGTTGACAGGCTTCAGTAATCCCTAGTACCCGCTTTTCTGGCAAGAGGTCGATGCGACTGGTGCGGATTGGCGCGGACATCCCATATAGCGTAAACCGCAAGGAAAAGCATGCGAAAGAGGGAAGGAAAAAGGCGAAATTGGGATTGGGGACGTCCCATTTAAAGTAAACAGCAAGGGAAGAAAAAAGGCGAAAAACCAAACGATCGTCTGAAGAACAAATGATGGAGCGAAAGTTGCGGATAGCAGAAATTGTGGCGACACGCGAACAGAACGATTCTTAATTTGAATTCTTTATTCTTTTGTTCTGGTACCGTAAGAAGATTGAAGAGTGCCGACATGCCGCTCCTCTCCCCCTCCTTAACTTGAGAATGGTCGGTCATATTTGAAAATTGGCTAGCCTCTTCTACTGCCCTCCTCATCCTAGAAAACTTTGGGTTGCACTCCCCTCCTCTTCTCTATCTCCCGAAGCTTTTTCTGTGCCGTTTCTTAAATTGGAGGAATGGACAGCAATGAAAGTTAATCATGTATTTTTGTGCCTAAATGCGTATCATTGATGACGGTGATGACCTCCTTCACTCAGCAGTTGGATCCGTGACTCCCTTCAGTGGAAACCATATTCACATCAGCGCAAGTATGTTCGTAACAGTGAAAGTTAGTCGCGCTATCTCACATGAAAACTGTAAACAGGCTGAGATCGCCAAGGTTTTTTCGAAGAGAATCACAGATATTCCAACTGCTAAGTGAATGTCGTCAGCCGAGATGTTATGTAGATAGGCATAAAGTTATACATACTTACCTTTTGCTTCCATCCCTACTTCTTTGTACCTACACGTTGTGTAAAACAAACTTTCCAAAATCTTCAGCAGGTAGCACCCCTTAGAGCCAAAGCTTATTCGTTGTAAACCCTGATTGCGCAAAGAAACAAGTGATGTGAAGCGACGCTTTCATAGTCCTTAGTTCCAAGCCCACAGTTATTTAACCACAGTTATTTGCTGGAGTTGCAAGCTCTTGCAAAGGTACCCTTATTTGACCTTAGGATCTTAAAAGCCTTATCTTGAAGGGGCAAAGCAGTACTTCACGTTTAGTAGCGATATTGTACGTAGCGCACTGGTGTTTTTTCTACATTATTATGCTGTTGCCAATGATAGTGCGTAGAGCTTCGTATGCTATTTATATTAATCAATCATCAGTCCCACGTTGAAAATGAACTACATTCATCGAGGATTACTTTTGCGCGCGGTGCTTTTGCGTAACAAAGCTTTTGTAGGGAAACCTACTCTGTAAAGACCTCTAACGCCTTCTTCTTTTGAAATTTTATACAAACAATCCAGCATTCCGGAGTATCTTTTTACTTTCGTCTCGTACTGTAGACATAATCTAAAACAAGAAATCGACAGAAACCTAGAACAGACGCTAGTGAGTGTAAGCTTTCATGAAAGCAAACCTTGTTTTCGTAACCCATATGGGATTCGTGACAGCCATCACAGCACCACCAGACAAACAACCACATAAGAAATTGTCAATATTTACGTTTGGAGATCGAAATGGTAACCACTCTTGAATTTTGTGATACCTAAGAGATGTTTCACTCGATCTCATCCTTTGGGTCAAAGTTATAGAAAGCTAGCTCAAACCATTGAAGATACAAGCCCCAGGCTAACGCTGCGCCAACCATGTTAGGAGTGAGACCCTGATAGAGTCCACGTACTCCTTCAGCACGAACAATACATCTTGTAGCATCGAAGTAGCTTTTGTAGCGAGGTCGAATGCTGCTCCCCTCATCAGCTAATAATGAAGATTTAAATAAATGCGAAAAAAGCTTAAAATACATTACAGGAAAGAAGCTTCAATACCTGAATATCGAATTTTGAGCAAATCCATGGGGTGACAAACTGCGGTACTCGCAATCCCACCGGCAAATCCACCAACTAGATGCTCATACTTTCGCAACCACGACACTTGGACAGGCAGCGCAACCTCAGCTGCCATGTTGAGATCTAAATGTAGTCGTGTCAGTGATAATCATGTTCGACGAAACATTCACAAAAAGAGAAACTCGTAATGCAGTAAAAGACTGTTCGGTAAATTACTCATTACTGATTCGTCTATACCATGTCACCTGAATTCAGTGATTTCTCCGACGAGATCGAGATGAGAAATTTCCTTTTAACATGTTCAGAGCTTGTACAACGTCCCAAGGTTTTTTCTTAATGCAGGATCTATCTAGTGATCCCGCTCTCCTCTCGCAATGGTTTGTCTGACGAGCACTACATTTATGCGATTTTTGCTGTTAAGATGCCGTAACAGAATCGTAATCAGCACTAGGCTAGCTAGCTGAAGCTCAAAAAGCGACAAAGAATCGACTGAGAAGGGATGCAAGGCGCCATTTGAGTTTGGTGCACTGAAAGAGCTAGGCCGCGCATTTGCAAATCCTGTGACATACAAAAGGGACGTGTATAAAAAAAGGGCTATCAATACTGTGTTTAGGTTGGAGAATCAAAAACTTACATAGTAGTAAATCTATCGCAATAACTGAAGTATTCTTGGCATAATTATGCTAGCTGCATTCTTAAATAAAATTATATATATATATATATATATATATATATATGTTAATTTAGAATACCTTGACTCTCGTAT